CGTGCGCGAGGTGCTTACTTTGCTTTCATCTGGTTGTGTGACTGCTCGAGCGAGTAGACCTTGCCGCGGATCAACTCAATCTCTTGGATGTGACGCGTGACTGCGAAGACTAGTTAGCAGCTGTGAGCTCCATGCGACAAAAGACAGTCGAGGCCATGCGCAGAAAGTTTGCTCGCCCGGTCCTTGGATACCGCACGGCAGCTGCTTCCCTTCGCGGCTGGACAGCATGTGCAAGACTCACTTTGGCCTTCGGCATCGACACTGCGCTGGGATTCGGCTTCGAACTCGGTCTTGATGTTGTCGAGCAGCTCGTTGAGGCGCTGGGCTGGGCCCGTCTGGGGAGGCATGACCGCCCGGGGAGGGTAGTGGTTCATGCTGGCGGCGGGGTCGCGCGTCCGGGAGAGGGTGCGAAGATGGGCTGGCCGTCTGCTTCGCGTTGTGCGCTATTGAGACGCGAGCAACAGGGCGCGGTATGCGACGACGTCGGGTGGGAGCCTGGCGGTCGCAAGGCTGTGGGCGCACAGCTGGCACGAGCTATCTGGGCTGGTACACGTCTACGGGGCCGGCCCTCTGGTGGGCGCGACGGGTGTCGGATGGATAAACGGTGGATGGGGGCAGATAGGGATGCAAACGGGTGAGATGGTGTCGTGGCTGTGAGATCGCTGAGGTTTGAGCGCAAGATGGGTGGGTCGCCGTGGTTGGTGCTTTTGCTTGGCTTGCACGGAGGAAGAGGCGTTTCAAATCCGGCAGGCGGGAAACATGGCCATCTGGAGCGCTTGCGCCGACATAGCACCAGTTCCGCTACGACTCGCTGTTCCCGAGACGTCGACCTCGGCATGTGCATCCATGATACTCTCTTTTCCACCCCCAAACTTGCATGCCTCCGCCCAAGACTCTCGCCAGCATCCCTTCTCCCATCCGCGTCGCTCGCTCCGCTCCACCCCATCCAGCCGGACCCTTGTGCTTGCTCGCGCTAGTGCTGCCGTTCCCGCCGCGCTACACTGTATTGAGCCAAGCTGCATATCGCACGTGTTTGTCCTCTTTCGGCCGCGATCGCTTTTCTTTCCCACCTTACATCAGCACTCACATTCGTACACTCAGGCGGCCATGTCCACACAATGACTTGCCACCCCCACGATGCTTTCTTCTTTGTTCAGCGATAGCGGGACTATCAGGCCTAGTCCACCTAGCGGCTGCGCTTGAGTAATTGAACTACACGGGAAAAGTGTTGCATGCGCATACGGGCTAGTGATCGTGGCATGAGCATCACGATGTGTTCTAGCCAGTTGTGCATCTATTTCATTGCAAGTGTCCTCGGAAGATCGACTCTGCATACATCGTTCGGTGTTTCTGTGGCTTCCAGAGTCATGCAACTTGTTAGAGCCCGAGACTAGATTTCGTCTTCAATGTTGCATTCCTCCTTCTGCCCGCAGCACCACTTGTTCACACTGAACAACGTCGTCCCCCATTTCTGGCTTACGAGCAGCGCTGGTTTCACATATAATCACGATGGTTACACGACTACACGACGCGTTTGGCGGCTGAATTATACCCATGGCACGGGGCCACTCGACCACCCCCGCGCTGCCGGTGGTACCATGTCTGATTCGCCCCAGACAGCCACAGAAAACTCGTTCATGTCAAACGACGCACTCATCCACTGCATCGAGAACAACACGGCAGATCCAGCATCACGGTCCTCCTCGTCGTTGTGGCCATTGTGTCATGGCTACCCGACGAAACCGTAGCTGCTAGCCCTTCCATTCGTAGTTACGACGCGTGGGAAGTCCCTAGCGCTGTCGCGTAAGCCATCTCGTGCGGAATGCTCACCTCACCAGATCTCGTCCCGCAACCAGGACTATCGTCGTATCACGCCATTCTCCCGTGTATTTCCCTTTGCCTGCTGGCTGCCACGCCTAACACGCCTTGTGATCTTCCGCCTTCCTAGTCACCGCTTCCAACAGCCAACGCCATGCGTTCCTTCAATGCGCGCCTGTCACTCACTGGCCGCCATCAATCGCCACTTATACCCGGTGTGATGTTCATGATGCGCTTAGCATGCACGCAATCGCCATGAATGCTTCAATGGCTGTGGCAATCACCGCCTACTGCATTGTGAAGCCCCCATGCTCGCCATATAAGCTGCCTGCCTGCTTCTTTCCAATACAAATCGACATTCCTCCTCCTCATACATTACTATTGATTGCCATTTGCTATCAATTAACTAATCACTACCTCAACTATCCTCTACCGTTCTGTTCAGACGCCCCCCGACATTAGTGTTCATCATGTCGCTACAGGGTGATGAGATTGCCGAGCAGCGGCCCACTTACCGACGTCTAGCGACTGCCGAGCGACGTCAGATCAGCATCAGGGCGTTCAAGTCCTCGGATTCACTCTACAAACTCAAGGAACAGAAGGGTACTCTTGAGGCTGCTGTCGAGGTCAGTACTACCATTCTTCAATTGCAAACCTTTTGATTAACATGTGGACATGGCAGCCCCTTTACGCAGGCCTTGCTGTCGCTCAGTCTGACGATGGCGACTTTCGCTACTGCATTGCTTTGCATGATGGAACCTATACCATTAACTGTGAGAGCAAATCTCTGGGGCTATCCGGAGACGCAGGCGAGGGCAACTCATCGAACGAATCATCGCGAGTTGGATCAGGAGTCTCCACACCCATGTCTGTAGGTGATGTTTCCGAAGCTCTATCAAAAGCCTTCATCGGATTTCTCAACGACTACCGAGAGGAGAACCTTTCCAAGCCCATGGGTGCTACTCTGACCACGCAACTGGCTACCTTGAGTCCACACCTGGCCGTACGCCTATGGACTGAACTAGATATCATACCATTCATCTTTCCGGCCGACGCCAAAGAGAAGGAAGAGCCATCGATACCCCTAGATCAAGAAGCCGAACGCATGGCGAGAAAGACAGTGAAGCAATTCAACGTCAAGGGTGAGTTACCCGTTCAGATGGGTCATCGTCGTCAGGTGTTGGTTGATCTCGACAACCACGTGCACATCGCCGAGCGCGAAAGCTACGATTCTACTGTCAGGATGGACACTACAGGAGCTGCAACGATGCATTACGCCAATTCGCTCAAGAAGAGAAGGACCAAGATTGCCTTCTTCAACAGCACAGCACAAGGCGGAGGTGTCGCTCTCATGAGGCACGCTCTGATGAGATATCTGGCTCTTCTCGGTGTCGACTGCAAATGGTACGTTCCATACGGAAAGACCAACATCTTCAGGATCACCAAAGACAACCATAATATTCTTCAGGGTGTCGCCACAGCGGGTGAGCGTTTGACCGAGGAAAAAATGGCCGATCTTGATGACTGGGTCATCGAAGAGGCTGACAAGTGTCGTTGGGTCGAGCACGGCGGCCCGCTCTCATCTCGCGAGAAGGGTGGTGCCGATGTGATCATTGTCGATGATCCTCAGATGCCGAGCCTTGTCAAGATTGCGAAGGAGCGAGACGCCAGGTACGTACTCCCTAATTGCTTGCGAACTCATCCAGCATACTTCTTTATACTAACTCTATCCTCTAGTCGCCCAGTCATTTTTCGCAGCCACATCCAGGTCCGAGCTGACCTAGCTGACGAAGCAGGTACCGCTACCTCCGAGGTATGGAACTGGATTTGGAACCACGTCAAAGATTGTGATGTCTTCGTCAGTCATCCCGTGCGAGCATTTGTCCCCGAGTTTGTAACCCCAGAGAAGGTGGGCTACCTGCCTGCCACTACTGACTGGCTAGATGGCCTGAACAAGCACATGCACCCCTGGGACGAGCAGTATTACATCCACGAGCTCAAGGTCCAGTGCTTTTCAGCTGGTATGCGTCAGCTCGCTCATCCGGATCGAAAATACATCGTTCAAATCGCTCGCTTCGACCCAGCGAAGGGCATCCCAGATGTACTCGCATCATACGCACTCTTGCGCAAGGTGTACATGAAAGACACGCCTCTTGTAGACATCCCCCAGCTCGTCATAGCTGGCCATGGTGCCGTCGACGATCCAGATGCTACACGGATCTTCAAGGAAACCGAGACTGCTCTCAACGGGGAGTTCAACGAGTTCAAGGACGACGTCATCATAATGCGTATCGGACCATCAGACCAGATGCTCAACGCACTCATGTCCTGCGCTCATGTCGCCCTCCAGCTCTCCACCCGCGAAGGCTTCGAAGTCAAGGTCAGCGAAGCGCTCCACAAGGGCACGCCTATCATCGCTACTCTCGCTGGTGGTATCCCTCTGCAGGTCCAGGATGGAAAGTCTGGCTTCCTGGTCAAGCCTGGTGATCACGACGCTGTTGCGAAGCACTTATATGATCTCTTCACTGATTCGGAACTTCACTCGACTATGTCGGAGTATGCGAGTAAGCACGTTAGCGACGAGGTCAGCACGGTGGGCAATGCGCTGGCTTGGCTTTATCTGGCCGATGAGCTATCCAAGGGGGAGCATGTCGCACCTGACGGCCGATGGATCAACGATATGGCGAGGGAGAAGGCGGGTATTCCGTATCAGAAGGATGAGGATATCTTGGTGCGCGATGTGAGCTTGACGAACTGAGTGTGGATGTCTTTGAGAGGTACTATAGATGGGCGATGAGCATGAGAGACATGTTATGTAATACTCTCGTCAGAAGCTGCAATTATCAGTCTTAATTCACGGTTGACAGTGCCAGATTAATTTCATAGGTAAACAAGCACTGCACAGAGCGACCGATAGCGATGTGTGCTCGTATTAGAGTAGAGATATCACATTCAGCATTGCTTTCATCTTTGGAATTCCAAACCACAGTTCATATTACTTTAGTGCTAACTTTTTAGTGACCCCTGCTTTCTCAATTTGACTTTCAAATCTTTCACATGCTTGCTTTTGTTCTCTCTCGTTGGATTTTCAATCCGAAGTCTCCGTACAAATGTATCAAAAATACATCCATGACGAGCTGTCCTATCATCTCCCTTGATCCCTGAGTCTTGAACGCACCGAATCAGAGTTCTTTTAACATCTGCATATGATCTGCCCACTCATCATCATCCATGTCGCGAAGTCTGACTCCCGGAACATCCGATACCCGTCTTGCCATGGTTCTCCAGTTGTCCATTTTCGTCAATCCTGGCTGTGCGGGCATTGCAGCATCAATGCGAGAATTGTGCCTAGGATTTTCCTTGAGTAACATATCCATACAGACACTAGAGGCCTCGCAAATGTTGCGGAGTATGAAATCGATAGTATTGAACTTCGCTCTGTCGTGATCCAGTTTCAGATGGGCGATGGTGACTTCAACATCCGGAACGGTGGTGTCATTCGGGCGTGCATGGGTGATTGCTTTGAGGTAGTAACGGCAATTCTCGATGAACTGCCACCTTGAGTCGAAGCCCGCGGTGCCAGGGCGTCTTGTTGTGAATGAAGTGTCGAAGCAGCCATATAAGACGTGCTGGGTGGCCTCCTCAGGGGTCCAATTCATGTAAAAGCGTACTGGCTCCTTCAAGATCATATGAGCTTTCCTGGTAATGATAGGTGCAGCTTCTCGGTTGACAAGGCGGCAGGTTGCCAAGATTGACATGGGTAGAATGCGTCGGTACATGACGAGTTTTCCACTGCGTCTCGAAACAGCATCGTCCTGTTTACGGCGGATGATACTGGGATTGTATCTCTCTTTCCTGGTCGCTAAGTCGATGGCTTCGTAGACCATACAGCGTAGCTCAGCCGGGAGATCGAGGAAGCGGAATGGTCGATCTGACATGGTGACCGTATGCGAAACGCTGGAGTGTTGAAGTTGTTGAGAGTGAAGGTAAGTGGAAGACGAATTGTGTGAGAGTGAGGTCAAACTGACGTTAGAAGAACAGAGAGAGAGTAGGTCGCGATAAAGACTTGAGTATCGGAGCCACTAGCGCGTATGGTGAGCGACGTGTGGGGACGAGCTTCATGGTGAGAGACGATAACGGAAGGTGCGCCACGTGCTGGAACCTCAACTTCAGAGTCGCGAATGCATGGTTCCAAGTGAGGGATCAGTGCTGGGCATCAATATCATCCGCCTAATAACTAGCCAATGTACGCAATCAAGACGCATCCACACTTGCACGTCCTTCTTCCAGTGCAAAGCAAGAGCTACAAACTTTTCATATCGAAACAACGACATGCATCCCACTGACAACCACGCAGAACCTAGATATCAGCCACAAAATGAAACCCACCCCACCGATCGCGAAACAGCATACCACCGGGCCTCCCATCCCTACCCTGACTAATCCGCTTCTCCAGCGTCCAATCACCCTCTTTACTAGGATCCCACATTTCAATAGGACCAACTTCCCTATCCTCAGCATCAACACCATCGCCCGCATGGCTACGCTGTTGCTGGTAACGAACATACTCGCTAAAGCGACTCAACACCAAATCGCCACTGCTGTCACGGACGGGAAGGGCCTGATTGGGATCGGGCGTGAAGCGCGCTGCGAGAGGAGACTCAATGGAGCAAGAACGAGGAGTGCCGTGACCAGAGGGGAAACCCAGACGTGCTTCGATGGAGCTAGCCTGGCTGCGGGGTGTCGAGGCTGTCGCTGTACTGGTGCTGCCGCGGTTGCTGGAGGGGAGGACCATACGTGTGCCGCTTTCGCGCATGAAAGCTAGAGTCTCTTCGTCGAGACTATCAGGACGCGGAGGGCGGGGTGGTGGTGGTCCGGGACGCTTTTCGAAGGGTACCGTGACGTGGTCTTCTGGGATGGGTGGACTACAGAGTTGGGCCATGAGCTGAGGGCGGGATATGGAGACGCTGCGGTTTTGAGTCTTGGCGAGCGATCCGCGCGATCCGCGTGCTGTTGACAGTGATGTGAGGCCAGGAAGGCGTGCTTTGGGGAGAGGAACGCTAGTAGGTATCTGTGGAACAGGCGGAGGCGTTGGTGACTGCGTGGAGTCGTTGTTCTTGCTACCGCCGAAGAGACGAGAGCCTGTAATACGAGTCAACATTGAGTCGATGTATGCATGGAAAGCAGTAAACATGCCTTTTTCTCTAAGCAATGCGAAGTTGGGCCGCGACTTTGATCTGAGCGGCTCTCCACCGCGAGCGTGTTTGTGCTCTGGAGTGGCGGAGAGGCTGCGCGAAGCTGGCGGAAGTGCCGGTGAGCTTGTTTGATACTCTTCCTCTTCCAAGTCCTCGTATTCGGGTAGGTTCTCGAAGCTATCGCCGTGCTGTCCTGGGGTGACACGCGTAGCGACTGGGGAGAGTGGCGTGAACGAGTTGGGAGCGGAAGGCAGAGTAGGCAGTGGCTTGTTTAGCTTGTCGTTCTTGCGCCCAAAGAATCGCGATGCTGCACATGTTTTTAGTGTGTCTCCGCCTACATGCGGGACAGTGACTTACGCTTTTTCCGCATATCCACGTCCTGAATCCCGGCGTCAAAGTCGATGTCCGAACTGTCGGCGATAGCGGTCTTCTCATCACGACTTGGGCTATCTCTGAAGAAGTGCGACGCTATCTATATGTTAACGCTAGAGCTTTTGCGGTTGTGGAGCGAGAGTGAATCCATCCCGGGCTCAACGCTGCCTATGGGAGAGAATAAGAGCCTACCTTTGCTCCGAAGACTCTTCATCCTGACCAGTTGCGGCAGTTGACAGTTGCGACAATTCGATTTTGTGTTAGTACGTAAGGTCGGGCGAGTGTTGCAAAAGTCGCGTGATTGCCTGCAAAGAAGAATCAAAGCGATCGAGCGGGGGTGTAATTGGTGGTGCGTAAACAGGCGCGAGAAGACAACTGGAAAATGAACCTGCGCCCACTGGAGGTGCTCACTCAGGGTAGATCGCGACAAGTGCCAAGCAGCACTGGCACGTGCCGCTAGTGACATGGGATGGTGAAAGTGAGAGTTCACTCCCGTGATGAGTCGAAGGCAGGGAGGACCCTCGCTCGCCCAACAGTTAGTATGCCACCCCATGCTCTTGTCTGGGCTATATACTTCTCTTGCAGACAGAACAGATGACGTGGAAATCAAAGTCAAACGAAGAAACAATATAGGGAAGCAGCTCACCATCACGAAGCCGTGCCGAACGGAAACCTTGTTTGGACATGAAAACTTCGTGCCTCCCGAGGGAGACACCGAAGCCGAGCATCATGCCCTTATATTTTTTTCTTGATTTTTACTTGTGGTTTGTGGTGATGTAGTGATAGTCGAGTTGAGTCGTGCCTGGATCCAGATCATGGACAGCAGAGAATTGTCGGAGGAAGCTCACTTCTCATAGCCAGTCGAGACATTCCCTAAAGTGCCTATGCACCAGAACATGAAACATGGTGCAAGAAAACGCCTGATTTCCAGCTCTTCAAATCCCACGTCCATGCATCCATTCATGAACAGTGACAAAAGAAACGCTTGCGCTGGACCAAAGAACCTGAGACGACATGCCCGTCAATGCTCACTACTTCCACGAGAAAGATGGCCACCAGCCATTGATAACGCCATAAACTCCAAATGAAGTGACAATACAATCATGAACCATAAACATGGAACAAATAGAAAATCCATATAAACAAGCGAATGTAGTGAGCCCAAACCATGCCCAAACATGGCAGGTCTCGTAGAAACAACGACTACCTGACGCTGGACTCGCCAGCCGGGCTGAGATTGAGCAAGCGTTTGAGATCCTGCTCCAGAGACAACGTATTGGAAGGGGTGGCGGTTTTCATGGGTGAGGCACCAGCAGTGGCAGCGGGGGCTGAGGTCTTGCGTTGTTTAGCAGCGACTGATGAAGGTACAAAGGACATCATGCTGGTAGGGGCCTTCGGAGCAGATGCTGGAGGAGCATTAGCCGCGGTATTTCCAGTCCCACTCATATTGCCTCGTTTCTGGTAAGTGTCGGGGCGAGGCTGTTGTGGCTGTTGTGGCTGCCGGCCAGGCGTCTTCCTACGGTTGTTTGGACTTTGTTGATAGGATTGTACATGGGGTGCTGATGGCCGGGGCCCGTTGGCAAAGCCTCCGTTGCCGTTGCCTGGCTGATCTCGGGAAAAGGCGTTGGGGTCCATCATCTGAGTGGGAGGAACAGAAGGAAAGCTCTGGAAGTTGCCCGGTCCGACCATAGGAGACTCAGCCGAGATCTCGGTACGAAGACCAGAGTTGCGTTTCTTTGCAGAATCGCCCTTTGCGGCTTTGAACAAGGGAGAAAGATTACGGTTGCCATAGAAAAATTCAGAGTCTTGGTTCGGCGGTGGTGCCTGCGGTGTGGTGGGTCCAGAAGGGTTCTGGGGAGGGCGACCGTCATGGAAAGGTGATGGTGTCTGACCTATCATGAATCCTTGTGGACCCTGCGCATCCGGTCGAGGCGGTGTTGCCGAAGGCTTCTTCTGTGACATTGAGAGACGATTCAGTAGGTCGTTCATAACATCGTTGCCGTTACCCTGCTGTTGCATATCCTTGAGCTGTGGAATCTTGGTGGGATCTGTAACGGAGCGATGCGAGGCGGGCGAGGCTGCTGGTGGAGGAGACATGTGTGCGTGCTTGCTTTCCCCGTCAAGCTCTATGGGAAAGACGCCATTCATCGAGTGTGACGAATCATGCTTCAAGTGCTGTGGCCTGGAAGTGTCCATTGGGTTGAAAGGTCCGTGGGAGGCTGGGCGTCCATGGTTGCCCTTGGCTCTCTCAGCTGCATCCGCCTTGAAAAGCAGGTCCAATGGAGATTGTTCATTACGAGGAGGAACGGCCACCGGGGCGCGGGAAGGAGAAGCAGAAGGACTTGGAGAAGCAGAATCAGAACTATCTTCGGGCGGGGGAGTGGGTGGACCAGCACGTGTCTTGGCCGGCACAGAACGAGAAAGAAACTTGGGTATAGGCAGAGCAGAAGGAGCCGGAGAAGCATGGAAGGTCGGGCCGGCATAGGCGGCCTGGATCTTAGCCGGGGTAGCAGACGGATTGATCGGAACAGGCTCTGATTCAGGAGGAGAGAAGACGCGGTCGATGGAGGGATGGGACTGGTTGGGCTTCCTCATGTTGCGCGGTCCAGAGGGCATGTGCGCGTCCTCACCTGAGTGGGACGCGCCTTCCGCGTGGGCGAGCTCAGCGGGCATCTTGCTCGGGGACGCTCCTGCCGCATTGTGTTGGTTCTGGTTGTAGCCATTGTGTGCGCGGTTGCCTCGCGGTTTGCGTTGCGACTGCCGGCCGGCGTTGACATGCGCTGCCTGAGCTGGGCTCTGCGGCTTGCCCCGGGGAGCGCGTGGAGAGGCCGTCGTCTGTACTGTCGACATGTGAAGCGTTTTACGTGGAGTTGTTGTATTGTGATGGGGGTGGGTTATCTGGTAGGGCGCAGGCGGACGCTCTTGGTTCGTGATGAGGTAGTGGGTTGGATGCGCGATGACGCGGTCTGTGTCTTTGTCTGATAAGGTGGGAATGTGCAAGGGTTAGATGTTGAAGTGATCATATCCAGATTCGCGGGGTATAGATAGGCACGCGCCGTTGGGTGAGATAGGGCGAAGAGTGAGGGTGTTGTGAGCAGAGTCGGTCGCATCGACGGTGAACGGCGCGGAGGTGGCTGTGATCCAACGAGGCTGATCTCGGCAAGGCGCACTGACGGTTGCGGCGGCGTAGGGCTGAGAGGTCGGGTTGGGTATGATGGAAGCGGGAGGCTGTCGGGCGCCCGTCTTTGAATCGCGAATAGCGGTGGCATTATGGCGTTTGCTCGTCCGAAGGGAATTTGGACGCTTGGCGAAAGATTGTGCATTCCCTTTCACCTGGCACCTCGTCCCAAGGTTGGTACACAGGGCCTGGC